GTACAGAAATTTACCCAGAGTATCTACAACAGGTTATCTACAGAGGGAAACATGGTGGTGGCTGTATCATGCTCTGAGGCAACGTTTCTTCAGATGGAACAGAGGTGGAAGAGATTTCTAAGGGTTGCAGTGATTAATTATTAACGACTGAAAAAAACAACAACAACAGGAACATCTACTTTAACCTACATGCTAATTCTCTATATTGTGGTGTAGCTGCTCAGTGATCCAGAGCATGTCATTCCTAAGTAATCTCTATCTAATGTCTGTTAGATGGTTGGTGTTAAATTTTTATTTTATTTTTCTACAATCACTGACTTTACAAGATGATGTATAAAGTTTTTAAAAACAACCTAAATGAGGGCTCAGCTAAAGACGCCATCATAGTAGGATATATTTTGGACCAATTTTTGAAAGACTTAGTGCCAAGTCAAGCCAATGGGGTGCAGATAAGGTAACAAACACCAAAACAATGAGAGAAAATTAATGGGAGCTTTAATCAGCAAAGTTATAAAGTTACATAAACAGATTATTAAACCCTTTTTCTATGAAAGAGCTATTTGTTATTTAGTTTAGTTTCATAGGATAAACAGAAATCTTTATAAGGAAAAAGTTTTGATATGAATTACCACGGTCTCTATGTTATTTACATCACAGCAGCTGGCTTTCTGGTAATGGCGTCTAACAGAGCCATTGTATCCCATTCTCTGAAATAACAATCAACACAAACACAAAAACAATCAAGGAATGTGTAGCTGTTCAGACTTGGTGCTAAAATGCATTCATGCTGATTCCATCAAAAGAAGGTAAAAAGTCATTTCATACAAGTCTTCCATGCTCATTTGGGATTAAATCTGAGTCACTTTATATGCAAATAAAACACTTGGTCTACCACAGAAAAGGCAGATGCCATCTTAGCAATACATTCACAGCAAGTCTGCCGGTGTTTTTGTGAAACCAGAGAAATTATTTCTCATTCATAGAAATAAATACACTGTTATTCATGTATTAACACGCATTGGTATGCTTGCTGACTGTTTATTTCTAAATCTCACTAGGTTAAGGTATGCATATTTCCAGCTAAATCCTTGTTCTAAAGAAAGAAGGGATTTAGATGCAAAATAAAGATAAGTAAATCCCTTTGCCTTGTGGCATCATTTAAATTAAGACACAATAACTTCTAAATCGAATGGTGCTTTTACAAAATATAAAAGCATTCCTTATTTTGGAAAGCAGAATTGGAAGTTAACATTACAACTCTGCTTCTTGCATATAAACTTTTTACACTTTTCTCTCTTTCGTGTTTAGTCTGGTCCATGGTACATGTTAGCAACAGATCAGAGCAGCACCTGTCTTTAGAGTGAAACACGATCCTGTTAAAGGGGATTATTGGCACATACTGAATGCATTGTTATCTATAAAAAATCTAAGCTGGATATCAATAATTTAGATGTTTCTTTTTCAGCATCAAACACAGTTCTACAACCACTTAGTGAAAATGTTTTAGTGCTTAAACTTTACTTCACTGTAATTTAAACTTGAAGACATCTTCAGATCAATAAAGTAAATTTAATTTGAAAGTCAAGCATTTTACAGACATCAATGAAAGAATATAATTGACCAAAGTTATTGACCACCATTGCAGTCTCTCAGATTTCTTGATCTTTTGATTCATTCCTGCGTCCACTCCTGCTGAATGGACACTCCCGATCAAGCTAAACAAATTCTCACCAAGTTAACCTCTTTAACAGATTACTGTAATGATTGCATGTCCGTAAAAACCAAAGGATTTTTCATTTAAAGGGACAAAATAGGATTGTAAGCAAACAATAAATTCTTTATTAGATTAAAATTAGTTCCATCTAACTGACAACTCCCACTTAGAGAGAATTTCCTGCAGTTACATCGCCGATCAGTAGAGGGCACCAGTGTTCATTCAGAAGGGGTTTAATCAAGCGTTTAGATTTACAAACAGAAGTATAAAGTGCATTCTGCATCCTTGTCATTATTAAATGAATTTTTTCGGACCTGAAACTCGATTTTTTTATGCGTCTGCTTTAGCATGACCCCCTTTTGCAGTATTTTTTTTCTTGCAAATACTAGTGAACCTCTGATTAACCTAAGTTGAGTCTATTTAAGTGTTCTACCTGGCAAGTTCTGTGCTGTATGGA